ATTAATTAAGTACCTGGGCCTGCCTTGAGTGAACATCCTGTTGTTTTTTGAACCTCTAGATATTCCTTGTCTTTTATGCGTAAATTTTGCAGTTAATTATTTGTGTATTATCAATCAGCTATACCTACAAAATCTCATTGAACATTGTAATGTTGTGGCAGTCACGTGAAGGACATTCTACCTTTTTCCTTAAAGAAAATGAAGCACAAACTGATAAGTAAGTGGTTCTGACTATTACTGCATATATCTATATGCAGAGTGTTAGTTACATTTGTCTCTCAGAGCTTTTTCCTTTTACTTTTTTGGAACTGAAATGAAAATCTTCTTCTTGGTTTCAGTTTTATTGAGATGTACCTTAGGCCCCCATCAGCTAGTGAGGAAGCACGGATAAATGATTGGATTAAAGTGCGGCAATCTGGTATTAGATATTATCTGTCACTTGGGGACCAGAGAATTGTGGACAAAAATTTCATCATCAGACCAAAAGCTGAATTTGAGGTTAGTCTTTTTGTCCTTGTTTACTATTCTAGTGTGGCCATTGTTGTCTAGCTGAAATTAACACTCTGTGATTGTGTCATATAGGTTTTCATTCTCAGTTTACCTGTGTGCTGTCAAAATGTTTTTAGATGCAACTATTTATGAGCCTTTTAGGAAATAAATTGTGTGATTCTTTTTTTAATGGATGATGAAGGTTGGACTCCAGGCATATTTATATAATGTGATAGTACCTCTCAGATGTAACATGTATGAGACTAATCCAGAATTCAACATGTCGAAAAATGCACTTTCAGTGTTTTTTGGCTTCTGGAAAAGAAAAAACCACAAATTTTCATCTAACTGTAGTTATCCTGTGCCTTTTATCCCCAGTTCCCCACTTTGGTATCCCTATTTCATCAAAGTCTGGCCATTTATGTCATGTGTAGTAAAATTGTTTCTAAATATTACAAATAACTTAAGATGGTTTTCTTTACCTGTTTTGTCACCTAATCTTGAACAGGTTGGACGGATGACACTAGGTGGATTGCTGGCTTTGGGGTACAATGTTGTAGTTAGTTATAAAAGGGCATCAACAGCAGTTAGTGTTGGCAGTCTTTCCCTGTCATTTGAAACGATTGATACTCTTGGAGAAACGTTCTTGGTGCTGAGGGGCACTGATAGGAAAGTATGCACTTTTCTTCCTGAAGGAAAGATCTAAGATTTTCTTGAATGTCTTATATTTTCTTCCAAGTTTGATGCTAATTCAGGACTAGGCATGTGTCAAGGTTTACCATTAGAAAATATTTATATATATTGCAGTGATTGGCGGAAACTCAAGTATTAGATGCCTGGCTTGATGTACGTTGCATATCTGTCGGTTATTCATAGATTATGACTAACACTCACATGTGTGCATGTTTTCATGTCATTGATATTTGCTTTTAGGAAAAGTTCTGCAAAAAATAATCATGGAGATAATTGTGAAGATAAAGAGGAGAGAAAATAGGAGAATTTTAGGTGAAATTTCACATAAAAAATTGATGTCTATAACATATTTAAAAGGAAGCCCCATTGAGTTTACCACATGGAGGGAAGAGAGAGTGAAAGAGAAAAGATATTGAAGCAAAGAGAGAGAAAGAAAGAGGTGCAAAGAGGTCAGAGTTTACTGTTGAAGTGAAGAAAGGGAGTGCAAAGAGGCCCGTGTGTTGCACACGGGTCATACTCTAGTTTAAGAGAATGGGAAGACAGGGAGAGAAAATAAGAGGATGGTAGCTTTTAATGATTAAGTTTGAAGTTGAGAGAAAATAGGGAAAGTGGGGAGGAGGTGTCTGAGTTGAATGAGAATGTCAACTCGGTAAAAAAATTAAAAGAGACACTGAGATGGTGAAGGACCAACTCAGGCTTTCCCATTATATGTTAGGAATTAGGATAGGTTCTTCCTAGAAAGGATACTAAACAAGAGCTTGATGATTTGCTTGATAAACAAGTTGATTCATATCAGAAGTGTAAAGAGACGGGGACCTGTTAGATTGCATTGCTAAATAATATGTGCTTCAGAACATTGAGTGATCTGATTTTTGCATTTAATTTAGGGAAGTCACTGACAAATGTTTGATAATCATACAATTATCTTTCCCCAATGAATATGTTTAACTTGGAGCCATTCAGATTACTTTTTATCCATTAGGCAAGCTTAATGAGTGGGGTTATCACTTATCACCTAGTGGCTTTTCATTGAGAGCTGACTTTAAAATAAACTAAGATAGGTGAAAGGAAAGGATTGTTATAGGACCTGCTGCAACCAGTCAAAAGGTTGTTGCTCTGGTTTGGTTCTGCATTTAGTGAGAGCAATCAGATGCAATTGCTTAAGTATCATAAAGAAAACTCAAAATGGGAACCGGTGTTGACATGTGCCTGGGCTACCTTGTGCATACTTTTATCTTTTTTTTCTGCTGCAGCTGTTTCTTGTCTTCTGCTATATGTTATTGCCGTTGTCCTTGCTTCCCCAAAAGTTTTCTTTCTGTTTTCATCCTTTATTTTAATTTATTTTCATCCTGTGTGTTGAATCTCCGGTGTAAGTAATCAAGAAAACAAGATCAATAAGAAAACTGGAAGAAATTTAGATGGTCTCAAAATTTCTTCCTTGCACTGTTTTAAATTGACTTATTTGGATGATGCATATTGTCAAATATAGGTTGCTTGAACTTGGGACCCTGATATTTCTTGAAATAAAAATAAGAACTTTTGATTAAACATCAAACTATCTTTCCACTTGTAAGCTGGGGTAGAGTTTAGAAGGTTCCTGCTAAGCTGGGGGTACTTGCTTATATACCTTGGGTTCATTATTCTGTTATCTCATCTCTCAAGACAAGGATGTTGAATGCTTTTTCACATGCCGAAATATGATCAGTGAATCCATCTTTAATTTACTTACACGTTGCCTTTTTTGTTTGAACTAAAATTTTGCTTTCTGCTTTGCCGCTAGTTTATTTTTGTACTAATGCACATTACTTCTAATGAGGGTCTCATACTTTGCTGTATGCCCTTATTCATGTTCTTCAACTCTGTTTCTTTTCAATTCTTTTAGCTTGAGTTCTGACACAAACTAGATTTCTCTTCTGTTTTATCGTAAACATTTTTATGTTATTGAAGCCAAATATATAATTCTTGTTTTTTTCTTGCACATTTTCAATCTTTTATCCGTCATTTTTGGTTCTTTGTGGTAAGAATTTGGATTAGTGAGTCTAAGATTAAACTCTTGTCTTCACCATTCCATGGAAAAACAGTTGATGAAAAACTTATGTTCATGTTGGTTGCTGTACTGTTGCATAGACAGTTGGAGCAGAAGCATTGAGGATGGGTATCACTGGACCATGGCTCACTAAATCATATCTGGAAATGATACTCGAAAGAAAAGGTTGTCCACTTGACATGATTTCTGTCTATGCAACTATTGTTGTTTTTCTTATTGCTTAAGTTAATTGCACTTTCAGGTGTACCACGCCTCAATACTCCTCCACTTGTTTCTACTTCGTCTGTGCCTAGTAATCAAGAAAAAGTGATTGCGGCACCAAAGCCTATCCGTACTACTCCAAACCTTGTAACTCGACTGGAGGATTTATCTCAGCCTTGGACTCGGTCTCCGACAAAATCTCAAATGGAACCTGTATTAGCAACATGGCATTTTATCTCATCAGATCCTTCACATGGTGATGCCGTTATAGGTATGTCTCCTCTACTTGGACACTTAAAAATCTTTTCAAGCACTTCTTTTCTGAACTATATCATGGAGGTTGCAATTAATTTCATGTGTAGACTTTCTCATGAAGCAGCTATAGATTCTTCTGCTTTCAGGGATACAATGAAACTTGCCCCAATGCCTGATTCATATGACTTGGATCGGGGCTTGCTTCTTGCTGTTCAAGCAATACAGGTAATGAAAGGAAGAACTCTTATGCTGAGAAGGCCTTTAACGGTAAATAGTTTATCAGAATATTCACTCATGTCCAAAGCTGATGCCTTTTCTCTTTTTCTCCAGGCTTTGTTGGAGAATAAAGGTGTTCCCATTGTAGTTGGAATTGGTAATATCAAAAGCATACATCTCTCTCTTTCTTGCTTGGTTGGTCTGTTTTTTGTTTGCCACGTCTCTCAAGTTTAACTACGTGGAAATATGGACTTCTATTCAAGTTTGATAATAATCATTTTGAGTGCTTGAAACTAGCCCTAATAGGATATTCTTTTATGCGTAAATTTAATGTCTGGCTGCTATCGACTTGTGAAAGTGTGTGGTCTATTTGTTGCTGGTCAAACAGTTTGGTTAGCTTTTTTGGACTACTGCATTACAATATATTCTTAATTGCTATTAGCTTTAAATAAAACATGGAAAGCAATATTAATATGCCTTTACCATGATTGTGAAATTCTACTTGCCTCTGTTACATGCTGAGAACCTTAATTCATGCAGCATTGCTCTATTGGTCTAGGAAACAATTTTGAAATCCAATGTTTTTTTCCTATTTCTGTGTTCAAGTGGCTTAGTCAAATGTCGTAATCAGAGTTTCAAGCCTCTAATACACCCTCCTTCCTCTTTCTTGGTTTACCTGGTGGATTAATCCACCCTCCTTCCTCTTTCTTGGTTTACGTGGTGGATTATGAAGTTAAATAAATGACTCTTAGGTCATTGTCTTATAAAACAAGAAAGAAATAACTTTGTGTAATTTTTCATAATTTATTATCGAATTTGTTACTATTTCACCCTTCTGATTGCGAAACTCATATGCTGTTGATGTTGCACCTGCTTTTGCAGGTGGTCCTAGTGGATCTGGAAAGACTAGTTTGGCACATAAAATGGCAAATATTGTTGGTTGTGAAGTAGTTTCCCTTGAAAGATATTTTAAGTCTGAGCAAGTTAAGGATTTCAAATATGATGACTTCAACTCTCTTGATTTTCCTTTGCTTTCAAAGGTAAGTGTCAATTTTATCTATTAAGTTGGTTTATGTGCATTTCAAAAAAAAAAAAAAGAAAAGAAAAGGTGTTTTATGTGTTAATCTCTGATGATAGGATTGGGGATGAATGAGGCATTTTAACTTTAGTTGAAACATAGTACTGGTAAAGAATGCACCTCCAAAACTTAGCAGAAACTAAAGGTTTGTAAGGGTTATGATTAAGTGGCCCACTTAATTCCTCTACCAGCCTCACTTTATTTTCATACAATAGTAGTGCAGAAAACATGGTGAACAAATATCCTGAAGGCTGCAAATTCCTTGTTTTCATTTTTTCAAACGTCAATTATTTGAATAGTGTTCTTTCATATGCTTCTTGAACGATTTTAACCGACTCTCATAGTTCTCTAAAATTTTATCAAGTTCTCTGAGATTTTATTGAATACTCTAAGGACTGTGTTGAGCCTCACCACTTGAGGAATATGATGGCTAAAGTAAGAAAATGATTTTGTAAGTTTTGAAAAATATTTTATAGAGCTTAAGGGTCATTTGGTAGCACCAATTTTCTGTTTTGACAATATTAATTTGCTTGGTAAATAATGGATATGTATTGATTAATTTTAGGACAATAAAAAAAATGTTGTATATGGAAATAATATTTGTAAATATATACTTTTACCATATGGAAAAATATAGTAAATCGTAAGAATAATAAAGTAGTAATGTAATTAAATAAGACTTACATTTACATATTAAAATAATAATGAAAAATTTATTTTGAGGAATACTTCAATTATATTGCTTTATTTACTATAGTAGATTGTGGATTTTGTAGTACATACAATATATAAAAATATAAAAGTCTATGTTATATGTTTTATATGATATATTAGTTTCAATATTGACAGGTTTTTATTTGATATTTCAGATTAAATTGAATAATTTAATGGTTATAATTGTAGAAATTATATAATTTTATATGATACCCTATATTTCTATTTAGAAAATTGATTTATTATATTTATGTCATCTATATTTTAATTCTACTATATATATTCCTTGTAGTTTATTTATAATATTGTAATTGTAAGTTTTTACAACCTTGAAATATTCATTGTCCTTTTATTGTATAAATAGTGTTATATCAATATAATTCCTTTTATAAGTATCAACAGGAGAGGAAACATTGTTTACAAAATCACTGGAAGCAATAATTTCTTGTTTATAACATTTGTGAAAACTTTGTTTTTACTTTTACTTTTTTGAAAACATAAACCAGGAAAGTGTTTTTATTGCCATTTTAAAAATAGAAAAAAACCAAAATAAAATAAAAGAAATGAACTCTTTTGTTAAGGGTAGCTTGATTGTATTTAATTTTGTAATGATGTGTTATATATAAAAGAAATGCAGATTATATATTTTCATACCTTGTAGTTTATGTTTGATGTTGATTGGAAATTTAATCCTATCAATAATGCCTAGCCGTTTCAATTTTTTCTTTGCAGAATATTGGTGACATAAGGAAAGGCCGGAGGACAAAAATACCTTTATTTGACTTGGAGACTGGTTCTCGTAATGGGTTCAAAGAGCTTGAAGTGTCTGATGATTGTGGTGTGGTCTGTTACATATTCACTTCATTGCTGTCAAAGCTTGCTTTTTTGAAGTTATTTATTATATTTTTCTTCACTGAAATGTAACAAGGTAAATTAAAGAGTTAAAGACCAAAGGTTTAGAAAATGAAAGATGGATTGGATTGCTAAGGTGAATTATTGGTTCTTTCTAGATTTAACTGACCTGATAGTTGTTTTAAAGAAGGATTTTTTTTTCCAATCATAAATGTCACCTGATATATCTGCAATTGAAATCCTTGCTTAGTTGTGCTAGTTCATTTGGATTAAATACTTGTAACATTTTAGAATTTAATTTGTTTCTTCTGACCAGATAATTTTTGAGGGGGTTTATGCTTTGCATCCTGAAATCAGAAAATCCCTTGATTTGTGGATTGCTGTTGTAAGTTGATTCTCTAATCCATCTTGGGGTCTTGATTTTCTTGTATTATATATGTATTATCTTGTTCTCTTTGAGAAAAGATAGGCTATTAAGTTGGTTCTTCTCTGTAAAACCAGGTTGGAGGTGTTCATTCACACCTGATTTCTCGAGTTCAAAGAGACAAAAGTAGAGTGGGGTGTTTTATGTCCCAAAATGAGATCATGATGACAGTGTTTCCAATATTTCAGCAGCATATTGAACCCCATCTTGTTCACGCACATGTCAGTAGTCTTTGAATATCTCAAACTTTTAGGACAAGGATGTGCTTATAAGTATCAGAATACTTTTGATACTCTTTCTGTTTAGATTTTGTGTAGGCACACATGTTGATACCTATTGTACTTTTTGTGTGTGTTTAACCTATGCACGACAGTAGATTTCGTATTTATGTTAGCTATGGTCCTGTGGGATATTCTGACCATTATTCAGCAGTAACTCTGATGACAAAGCTAACTTTGTGTTTCAATGCTTTCTCATGTTATTGCAGCTGAAAATTAGAAATGATTTTGATCCTGTTCTTTCTCCTGAGAGTTCACTCTTCGTTTTGAAGAGTAATAAACAAGTAAGTATCATAATGTTTCTACCTAGAACTTACCTGCCATGTCTTGATTATGACAAACCATTCTTATTTGTTGTTGGTATTAGGTGGCCTATCAGGATATTTTAAAAATCCTTGACTCTGCAAAGTTCTGTAGTTCTGTTCAGAATTTCATTGATATATATTTAAGGCTTCCTGGAACTCCTACAAATGGGCAGTTAACAGAAAGTGACTGCATACGTGTCAGAATATGTGAGGGCAGATTTGCACTACTGATACGAGAGGTTAGTAGAGAAATTTATGTAAAATATCTTATATCCATGCAATGGAGTTACTTTTTGTGAAACTGTAGTAAATAGCTGTTATTTTGATTTCTTGTCAATTCTGTCTATTAGCCAATAAGGGAAGGGAATTTCATCATTCAGCCCAAAGTGGATTTTGACATTAGCATTAGTACAGTTGCTGGCCTTCTTAACCTTGGGTAAGTGACATATTTAATGACGATGTATTGTTCACTAGAGTTTTGCTATTATGGAATGTCATTTCGTTATAGGTATTGAATTAAAAATGGTCATTTTGTTTTTCAAAAAAAAAATGGTCATTTTGTTTTTCAAAAAAAAAATGGTCATTTTTTTTTCAAAAAAAAAAATGGTCACTGGTTAATCTCGTGTGATGTTAAAGCCTCACATTGTCAATTGCAAATGTATACATTTGAGGTTTGAGCAGCCATTTTCCAGGGTGAATCCAAAAGCCTTCAAGTTTTCTTTCTTTTTTCCTTTTTTTTTTCTCCTTTTTCCTCCAGAAGAACAGGAGTTGGGAAAAAGGGCAAAGGGATTGAGGTACTGTTGAAAAAAAACTTTTTCTATTAAGAATTGTTATAAACTGCAGGTCATCAAGGTAGGTAATTAATTTAAATAATTGCTTTGTGAATGTTTTAAGGGAGGGAAAGGTAAGATGATACTCTTATCTGGGTTTCATAAAACTCAAAACCTGGTTTTAACATGTCCTTTCACGGCCAATTACTTCTTAAAAAGCACATAAAAATATGCAACTCGAGGGACCTTTTCCATTAGCTCTGACTTGTAGGTGATGGGGCTCAAACATTTATGTCAGCGGTTCTGATATAGTTGGTAGTCTTGATTTTTGAGAGCCTACATATTTGAAAAATTAGTATATCGGCCATATTCTGCTGTTTTCAATTTTTCCCTTCAGGTGTTACTCAGTGATAAGTTAATGTTCAACTGATTGGAGTTTTATATTCCTTTCCATGGTGTCAGGTATCAAGCTGTAGCCTACATTGAAGCATCTGCACTCATCTACCAAGATGGCAAGGTAACATTGATTTGGGTCTTAATACTTGTTTTTGTTTTGAGGCTACTGGCTTTTGGGTGTTTGCTTCTGAAAAGTGATTTTATGAAGTTTGGTAGTGGGAATAAACTACTGAAGTTGAGGATGGTAATTAGTGGGATAATTTGGTCATTAGATTTTGAGAGGTGGGTTGCTGGAAGGATCTAGATTTAGAGTGGTTCTGTTAGGTTTTCTTTGTTCTGTGATAGACTAGGGTTCTCCCATTGGATCTTTGGTGCAGAAGAGGCTTGGAATGTTAAGCTCTTGTCTTTAAGGGTGTCTTTGGGGTAGGCAAAGATTTATGATGCTGCATCATACTGTAGCAAGCAGTTTAAAGCGGAATTGCACTACAGTTCAGTGACAGGACAGTTTAGGTGCTTCTTGAATTGAAGTGACTTTGTTCTGAGCTTTGACTTCTACTTGTGTTAAATTGATCAAGAGATATTTCTAAATTAGGTGCTTCATTTCTGGACTAGACAAGGAAGTAGTGGATCATTTGGTAAAAGTTACTGGAAAAGCCTGTCACTATGGTGTTAATTTTTCTTCTTGTTACATACTTTATGCTGGGTAATAACGTGATTTGATATTTGTTTCCAAGTAAAGGATGTGGCAGTTTAGGTTCCATTAGATACTAATCTCAGTATGTCTCTCTTGTGAGTAGATCTTATTGGTTCACTTGGAAAGAGTGAAGGATTTAATGGCTAAACTATTATTCAATTCGTAAACAAACTGTTC